GGGTGATAACATAGCTTTAAACTAGACAAAAGATGGCTTTTGTAGGGAATGATCCTGAAAATGATTGAGATCTGGGCTGATTACAGCTTTTAGATGCAAATCTGGCTTAAGAGCAGAGTTTGTATGTTTGTTTGTTTGATTGGTTGAGTGTCCTTGTCTCTGGGGCCTCTTCCCCTTTTTATAGACACTTTATCTTGGCTGTTGCAAGCTTTGCCCTAAAGTACTTCAGTGAGTCATCATCTTTTTTACATGTTCTGCCATTAGAAAGTGCTTTTGGGCTGTGAGTAGGTTGATTTCCATCGGTTGTCACCTCTCTTGTAAGCACATAACCTTTTCATTAAATGAGGAGTCGCCATATCGTCTTGAGATAGGTGGCTAGGCTTGATGCTAGGCCTCGGGCAAGTCTCTTCACTTTTAGCTATTTTGGGCTTTCATTCCTTTAAGTCCAAAGTTCAAATATTAACCCAAACAGAAATATTACTTCAAAGGATCCTATAGAAATTTACAAAATATTACCTTAAAAGATCCTACAGAAAGTTACAAAATAGTGCTGAAATCCAAGTTAGAAATGCATACCAATAATGTTGGTATCCCTGGGAACATCGACCACAATTGCATGACCTATTGAAAAGAATAAACTAACATAAAATCATCAAGGAGTAGAAAACCCTACTATATTTTTGTACAAAAATACATTATTGCCCTTATCAGGTTCTACGATTAGCATGCATGCATGCATAATCATCGTTGAGGATATCCAAGTCAAGTTGATCACAATCAAATCCTACATAAAAGTAGTCATAAAAAACATGGCAAGGGCCATCAAAGTCCCGATGTGCACAGGCAGCTTGAACTCTGAGTTGTTGGTAAGAGAACTGTTCTTCATGTTGAGTTGGCGCCACAGGAAGTGCCTGATCCCATCCTTGGAGCCCTAGGCAGGAAGGTCCGGGATTGTTGAATTATAAGTTGTGAGCTAATAGAATTAGAATAAGTTTTGTGATTTAAATGGTGTATTCACTTGTGCAAAGAATGCCAAGTGTAAAGTCCTGATTTGTAAAGGCCATGATGCCATGTGGATTTTCTGTTTTCTTACTACTAGTTAGATGAGTGGCTATGATCTAAGCTAAGAGAGAGAAGGGATCCAACAGTCTCTAAAGGTAATATTCATCCTCTCACTACTTGTGTGACAGTGAGTGAGCATATTAGAATCCAATGAGAATTACAGTAACTCCTTTGTGACTTGCACAGAGAGAGAGAAAAGTAACTATTTCTATTTTTTTTCTCTATGCATTTTATCATCCTTCTTTGAATTCATTCAAGTAAAATAATCAGATCTCAATTCAATCTAACATGGTATTAGAGCTAGGTTGCGATTAGAATTGGGCATGCACTGTGAATTCAAACATCACCGACGTTGGTTTTCTGGGTCAGGTGAAGTTTACCAAAGTTTGTTTGTGATCTAAGAACTACGTGTTTCTGGGTACACACAAGCTCGCGATGGCTAGATCTGGGAGTGCTGAAGTTAGGACTCCGATCTTTTCCAGTGAGAATTACGAGTTCTGGAGAATCAACTTGGTCATCGTTTTCAAGTCACATGGATTATGATTCTGATTCCTAATTCAAAGAAGAAGAAGAAGACGAAGACAGATGAAAACACAGATGCTGATGGTGAAGACGATAAGAAAATGGTTGCAATCTTCATAAAAGATGCAAAAGCCTTTGGCATCATTTAAAGCATAGTTTCCGATCAGATCTTCCCTCGAATCGCAAATGCAGACTCAGCAAAAGAGGCATGGGATCAGTTATACGGAGAATACCAAGGTGAGGATCAAGTAAGGTTCGTGAAACTTCAAAATCTTAGACGATAATTTGAATACACTAGAATGCGTGATGATGAATCCTTGTTTGCGTACCTTACTTGTTTAAATGATCTGATTAATCAAATGAAGACATTTGGAGAATCTCTTTTAAATGAGATATTAGTTCATAAGGTGTTAATTAGTCTCACTAAGATGTATGATCCTATATGCTTAGTGATAAAATACCAAGAGTCTGGAATCTGTTGAATTGCAAGATGTACTAGCTATATTGAAAAGTCAAAAGCAGAGGTTTGATTTGCATTCCTTTGATGCAACTGAAAGAGCGTTTTCTTCTCTTATTATTAATCTAAAAGGACAGAGTCGAGGTTATGCTTAGTCTAGTACATTTAAGCCACAGAGAAATTGGAATCAAAAGGGTAAGAAGTGGGACTCAAAACCCAAGTTTCAGCAAAAGCCATTTACTAATGCTACACATAATGGCACTTCTTCTCAAATCATGAATCAAGAGGGTGCAAAACCTCAGTGCAAAGTGTGTTCCAAATTCCATTATGGTGAATGTAGGCACAAAGGGAAACCTAAGTAATGTACTGTTGGAAAAGTTGTTCAGAAAACAAACTGTGCAAATCAAATGGAGGTGACTGGAAACTTATTTTATGCAAATTGTGTTGTTGCTGAAACAAAAGTTAATGGGGAATGGTATATAGACAGTGGTTGCAGCAATCATATGACAAAGAATGTTAATCTCCCTGTTGATGTGAAGACCAATGTTGCAGGGAAAGTTCAAATGCCAACATGTGTGTTAGTGAATGTGGTAGGAATGAAATCACTCGCAATTGAAACTAACAGAGGGAGAAAATACATCAGAGAAGTTATGTACTTACCTGGTTTAAAGGAGAATTTGCTCAGTGTTGGACAAATGGATGAGCATAGGTATTATCTTGTGTTTGGTGGAAGAATGTGCAATGTTTTTTATGGTCCTTCTCTTGATTGTCAAATTTTCAGTGTGAATGAAAGGAAATCGATGCTATCCCCTATCTTTAATGCCTGAGAAATAGCTTGTGTTGAAGACTAGTTTTGCTCACTGTACTTAGACTTGGCACAGAAGATTAGGCTACCTAAACTTTGGTGGAATTGAATAGTTGAAGGATAAAGACATGGTTCATGGTCTACCATATCTAGAAGAGTACGATGGAGTCTGTGAAGGCTGTTGATATGGCAAACAACACAGAGAAAGTTTTCCAAGTGGTGAAGCACAAAGGGCTAGTGCTCTACTCGAATTGGTTCATGTTGACTTGTGTGGGCCAATGAGAAATGAATCTATAGGAGGAAACAAGTATTTTATGCTGTTTGTAGATGATGCAACTAGAATGATATGGGTATACTTCCTTAGATATAAGTATGATGCTTTCAGTTACTTCAAGAAATTCAAAGCAATGACTGAGTTACATAATAGATTAAAGGTGAAATATTTGAGGAGTGATAGAAGAGGTGAGTTCTTATCTACTGAATTTAACCAATTATGTGACATAGAAGGCATTCAAAGGCAACTTCTCTTGCATACACTCCACAGCAAAATAGAGTGGTAGAGAGGAAAAATAGAATAGTGGTTGAAATGGCTAAGTCTATGCTGCATGATAAAAGGACGCCTTACTATATGTGGGTAGAAGCTGTGCCTACTGTAGTCTATATACTGAATCAATACCCCACCAAATCTCTTGACAACATGACTCATTTTAAAGCCTACAGTAGAAGGAAACCAGGTATTGCCTATTTGAAGGTTTTTGGCTCAGTTTGTTATGTTTACACATCATCTGAGCTAAGACACAAACTATAAGCTAAGAGTATCAAGAGAGTCTTTGTTGGATATGCAAAGTGTAAGAAAGGGTATAGAGTCTTTGATCCAATTTCTAAAAGGTTGATCCTGTTAAGAGATGATGTGTTTGATGAAAACTCAACTTAGGATTGGCAAGGAAGTAGAAAAAATTATATGTCATTGCCCACTTGTGAATGGAAGTCTATTAATACATGAAGAAGTGAAGTCACATGAGATGAAACCCAAGCTTCAAGTAGCTTGTCACCTGTCTCATTAAGTAAAACTCCATGTGGTCTTGAAGATACACAGATCATTCCACAGTCATTATCATGTGAATCCTCTAACAGATCATGTGAAAATGTGAGAGACACTTAAGCTTTTGACCATACTCCTTTAAAATGGAGGAAGTTGGATGATGTACTTGCTCAATACAATTTATGCATTATGGAACCCGAGAAGTACGAAGATGTTGCTGAGGATAAGTCTTGGATGAAAGCCATGAATGATCAGCTCTCCATGATTAAGAAGAATACAACCTGGGAATTGGTAGACAGACCAACTAACAAGCCTATAATTGGAGTTAAATGGGTGTTTAAGACCAAACTCAACCTTGATGGAATTGTGCAAAAGAATAAGGCAAGGCTTGTTGCAAAGGGATATGCCCAGAAACCAAGAATAAACTATAATGAGACCTTTGCCCCAGTTGCTAGATTGGATACAATCAGAACTCTTATTGCTTCGGCTGCACAAAAGAGTTCGAAACTCTATCAATTTGATGTTAAATCTGCCCTTCTAAATGGTGTTTTGGAAGAAGAGGTTTATGTAGAGCAACCTGATGAATTTTTTATTAAAGGAAAGGAGGACAAAGTGTATAAGGTTTACAAAGCTCTCCATGGTCTCAAATAGGCACCTAGAGTCTGGTATGGAGAAATTGACACCTATGTTGCACAATGTGGGTTTATGAAAAGCCAAAGTGAAGCTACTTTCTACATCAAAGCAAGGGGAGAAGAAATTCTAATTGTTTCAATCTATGTGGATGACATAGTGTATATTAGGAATAGTAATGAATTGTTGAAGGAATTCAAGGAGGTATGATGGTCAAGTATGAAATGACTGATTTGGGTTTTCTTCACCATTTCCTTGGCATGGGAATTATTCAAACTCACTCAAGTATTTTTATTCATCAAAGAAAGTATGTTGCTTCCTTGTTGAATAAATTTGGCTTAAGTGAGTGCAAATTCGTGTTAACACCTCTTGTTCCATCAGATAAGCTATGCAAGGATAATGGTAGTGGACCAGTAAGTGAGGAATAATATAGAAGAATTGTGGGAAGTTTGCAATATCTTACTACCACTCGACCAGATATAATGTATGCTGCCAATCTTCTTGCTCGGTTCATGCACAATCCAAAAAATAAGCATTTTGGAACGGCTAAAAGAGCGCTAAGATACATTAAAGGCACTTTGGATTATGGCTTGGAGTATGTGAAAGGGAAGAATGCAATGCTAGTCGGGTTCTGTGACAGTGATTGGGGAGGATCAATTGATGACAGTAAAAGCACTTTTGGTTATTCCTTTTCTTTTGGTAATGGGGTATTTTCATGGGCTTCAGTGAAACAAAATTGTGTAGCTCTTTCCACTACAGAAGTAGAGTATATCAGTGATTTTGAGGCAACTGCATAAGCCATTTGGCTTAGATTCGTATTTGAAGACTTTGGTGAGTTACAAACTGAAGCAACTCCAGTGCACTGTGACAATACAGCTGCAATTGCAATCACTAAAAATCCAGTGTTTGACCAGAAAACTAAGCACATTGACAGAAGATACCTTTTCATCAATGATGCACTGCAAGAAAGGATAATTGACTTAGTGTACTGTCCAACTAATGAGCAAGTGGCAGATATTTTCACTAAGGCTCTAACCAAGGATCGGTTCAACTATCTCAGAGACATGCTTGGTGTGAAATCAGCTCAAAACTTAAAAGGGAGTGTTGAATTATAAGTTGTGAGCTAATAGAATTAGAATAATTTTTGTGATTTAAATGGTGTATTCACTTGTGCAAAGAATGCCAAGTGTAAAGTCTTAATTTGTAAAGGCTATGAGTGCCATGTGGATTTTTTGTTTTCTTACTACTAGTTATATGAGTGGTTGTGATCTAAGCTAAGAGAGAGAAGGGATCTAACAGCCTCTAACGGTAATATTCCTCCTCTCACTACTTGTGTGAGAGTGAGTGAGCATATCAGAATCCAATGAGAATTACAGTAGCTCATTTGTGACTTGCAGAGAAAGGAGTAACCATTTCTATTTTATTTCTCTATGCATTTTATCATCCTTCTTTGAATTCATTCAAGTAAAATAATCAGATCTCAATTCAATCTAACAGGGATGTACCTGTGGCTGATGTCAAAGATTCTACCATTGCCGTACACTTATCTCTGTACATGTGTGTCGCTTCCGAAACGGTAGACAGAGGAGGAAGCAATGAAAAAAACAGCAAATTGTGAGAAGATGGGGAAGAAGATGGGGTTGGTAGTACTTCATGGTTTTGGGCATGGGGGAATGAGAAGGTTATATAAGAGGGGTTAATTATAGAAGAAGATGTGGTGGTTCAACATATTATGCAAATTTTGCATTCTAATTAAGATGAATAGGTACCCAAAATTTTTTTTTATCTTTATGCAAGAAAACAGTCCATTAATGAGTTTAGGTGAACCTATGCGGTTTGGTTAGACGTCATTTATTTCAGGATGAGAAAGAGGTGCAAGAAATGTTTACTCATCATCTATGAGAATAAGAATAACTTAAATGTTAAAACGGTCTCTGTGTTTTATTTTATTGGTCAATTTAGTCCTCGTATGTAAATTAGGCCGATTTTATCCTTGTGTTTTGCTCCATTAGCCGATGTGGTTAATTCCTTTAATTTACCATCAAATAGTCATTTGACATAAATAAAAAAATTATATTTATTCAAGAAATATAAAAAACTCAATTTAAAAATATTTAAAAAATTATAATAAAAGTTCATAATTTAAAAAATAATAAAGATCCCTCGACCACAAGGGCGGGCAAGAAAATAGTGATCAATGCAGGAAAAAGCCTGCAGTGCTGATCGATGTGATGAAGTGGTGCATGGGTCTATAGATGACACAGATGGGGCTGGATGATTGATGAAAGTGTTGTTAGAATATATAGTTTTAGGTGTTTGGTTTGATTTCAATCACAGAACTCAATTAGAGATTGAAGAATTTGTTGCTCCAATTCCTTGTAGCCGCTGCAACCCCATTCACTCAGCTTACATATCACGTGATGAAGAAAGTTGAAGTTTCACCATAAACCAATTGATAATATGGGAAGTGGTCTAACTTACTTATAAGCCTATGCAATGTTCCTCCTTTCATTAATGGGAATTGGCCTAACTTACTTATAAGCCTATGTAATGCCTCTCCTCCCATCATTGTGAGATTCATTCTTAACGCGTACCTCAAATATGGAAAATTTTGAAGCCTAACATGTAGAAAACACAACGGGGTGACGTGAAGTACGTGTGGCCGTTTAGCTTCACACGTAGGACAACTTGCTATGATGCCATGAAAAAAGTTGAGGTTCCATCATATTGGCAATATGGGGAATGACCCAACTTACATATAAGCCCATGCAAGATCCATCCTCCCATCAATATGAGATTCAATCTCAACACATGACTTATTTAAAATCCTATCTGATATAATAGATGTCATTCATTTAGCAATCTAATCACAGTCGTTCATTTGCAACTTAAGAATAGAAATGGAAAACTTGCAGAATGATCAAACTCCTCTTCTCCAATCCTCAGTAGTAATGCTTACAGTCCAACAAGTGTGAATGAAGGGGTGGGTTATCTAGGATAGATACTAGTGTGAAGAAGGGGTGGGTTATCTAGGATAGATACGGGGTGACGTGAAGTACGTGTGGCTGTTTAGCTTCACACGTAGCCACACGTAGGACAACTTGCTATGATGCCATGAAAAAAGTTAAGGTTCCATCATATTGGCAATATGAGGAATGACCCAACTTACATATAAGCCCATGCAAGATCCATCCTCCCATCAATATGAGATTCAATCTCAACACATGACTTATTTAAAATCCTATCTGATATGATAGATGTCATTCATTTAGCAAGTTAGCTAATTCTAATCACAGTCGTTCATTTGCAACTTAAGAATAGAAATGGAAAACTTGCAGAATGATCAAACTCCTATTCTCCAATCCTCAGTAGTAATGCTTACAGTCCAACAAGTGTGAATGAAGGGGTGGGTTATCTAGGATAGATACTAGTGTGAAGAAGCAGTGGAGATCTATGATATGTCACCGTATAGCTGGAAAAATGAGCGAATTGAAGCTAGGCGATGACCCAAGGGTGAATGTGACAGCCCGTCCCGGATTTTTCATACCGTAAAGGTAAAATGATGGTTTTGCCCCTAGTGGTTTTGTTTCGTTGTGTGATTATTTTGGGGTTTTGGTTGGTTGCTTTTGGACCACACACACACACATCCACACTCATTCGCATCCTTTCCCTGTCTCGTATCCCTGTCTCTCTCTCCCTTTCCTTTCTTCTTTGTACGGACAAGATCAAATCCTTCAAAAACATGGTAGATCGTGGTGGAGACTTATACCTTTGTGTTCGTGAGCTTCATACAAGTTCAACCATACCCATTTCAGGTAAGGACACCTTCGTTTTCACGTCGAACCCAAGATGTTCAATTCGGGGTACTGTTCATGCACATGTAAAATCATGTGTTTTTGGGAATTTCAGGGTTGTAGGAAGCTTGGTGAGGTCCTTAGGAAGCTCGGGGTGGTTCGTTTGAAGGTTTTGGACGTCGGGATCGTGAGTTGCAGGTTTGGCCGGATTTGGTGAAGTTTTTCTTGCGATATTTTGTTGGTTTTAGTGCTTGAAAGTGGTAAGGTTTTGTTCTTCTAGTTGTAAACTTCATTTTGGTACCAATTTCGTGAAATTTGGGTGAAAAACGAGTGAGAAATTAAGTTTAGAAAATTTCCCTGTTTTCCGACGACGGTGACGTCGCCAGAGGTTGGCAGGAGAAGACGACGGAATATTTCGTCAGTTTGGACGGAATATTCCTAACGGCATTAGGTTAACTTTAACAGAATCTGTCAGATATAACAGAATATTCCTGACGGCGTTAACTGACGCCATCAGTGTGCCAGACACGTGCCTACGCGTGGGCGGCGCGTGTGGCCGTGCCTTGGCCGGCGCGTGGGGGCGCGTGCAGCGTCGGAAAATTATTTTAAAATATGGGGATGTTCGTGAGGTTGAGTAGATCACATTGGTGTATTCATACACCCCATTTGAGTATTGTATGAGAAGTTATTACCTAGTTTGGGTTATGTGCTTTAAATTAACATTTTTATAGTTGTTTCGCATATAGGTGAGACCTATCCCGAGGACGAGCGCAGTCACTCGAGGCAAGGGGGTTGCGACCCTTCTACATACCAGTGAGTGGGCTTTTGGTTTTCCGTATATACCTATATACTTATGATTTTCCCAGAAAATGAAATGAAACGTTTATATGTTTTAAATGCCATGCATCGTGTTTGCCTATTTAATTATGCATTAGTAGTGGTATATATATATATATATGTTTGGTGCTGCGGACGCACAGGTAAATGCCAGGTAAGTTATGGTTTATGTTTGTGATTAGTAGTGATATGAGATGCATAGAGAGCTCATAACCTGCACCCTCGGGGTTAATGCTCCCGCCCAGAGTAGAGCACAGTCCTTCACGTGATGTTCACCTCCCGCACCACACGCTCATCTTAGATCCAAGTTAGGTGCACAGTCCTGTCGTACAGACCACTTTAGGTGGTTCCGACTCGTAGGTGACCCGCGATTATTCGCCCAGTCTTCACTTGGTCGTAGCACTTGAGCGTATTTATTTTACACCCAGTCCTGTCGTACAGACCACTATAGGTGGTTCCGACTCGTTTGCAGGTATAGTTAGTGAGTTGGGGATTTGAGCTCTAGATTCAGCCGTACAGGTCACGTTAGGAGACTATGGCTAACAGATTACATGGCATTGATTGATATTACCTGAGTACTTACATTTTATATAGAGGCATTCGACATGGCATACTTCTGAGCATGTTTTATATATATGTGCATATTTTATTTTCTGTGGAAACTATACAGGTTTTACAGTAAGGGGTTAGAACTTTTGATATTGAAATGATCCCACTCACGCTTTCTATTTTGTGCCCCTCCAGGTTCTAGTTGGATTACTCTTTTGGTGGCTCTCGAGGGATTCTCGGCATATCTGACAGATTATCACCAGTGTAAGATCACCTCTGGGTGTGTTTCATTAGTGTTTGTTCCTCTGGACTGCACTAGATCTTTTATGCTCTGAATATCATTTATCACACTTACGCTTGCACATGTATGCTATTTACTCAGTGTATAGCTTGATTTTTATTTATTCGTACTTTATTATTATTCTTAGCTTCCGCACTGTGCACATGGTTACATCATTCTCACGTGACGGCCAGCATGCCCTGACTTCGGTCAGGATGTGTCAGTGAAGATTTAAGAGAGAGAGAGAGAGAGAGAGAGAGAGAGAGAGAGAGAGAGATTTGTTATTTTTTTAATTTTATAAATTTGCAAACATATTTACGTTTTTTGAATGGTAGTT